TGTAGGTGGGTTGGGCAATATCAAGACATTTTTAAACACACGTAAAGCAGGGGCGGAAACAGTGTAATTTTGGAGGTCGTGCCATGGTTGACACACACGAAGAGAGTAAAAGTTCTGTCGATATTCTTTCCGACTGTATTGCGTGGCTAACTTTAACTGGGTAGCCCTTCAAATTCGTGTTGTGGCTTAGTTGTAGTCGGTGACGGCAGGCGTGATTGGGGTTCAGATCTAGTCATATGTTATGTGCACGAGCACTGGATTAGGTAGTTTTGAGCTCCGGCGGGATGAATCATTGAAACGGGTAAGTCGAATTGGACCTAACTTACATGTTCTTTGTTATGACGCACACGGGAATACACACGGCGTCTCGGAACTGATGCAAGCATTGAAGTACAGCAAAACCTCCACTACATCCTGACTATCTAAGTTAGACGATTTATTCCATTGTTTGGACGTTCACCATGTAAAACTTAAGGATCCAGACCTATCATATTGACCACGTCTCTGTGCTGAACACCGGCCCACTTCCTTGAGTGGTTAGATTAGCGAGGTTTCACTGTAATGGGATATAAACAATGGAACGAGTTCGCGCCTATTAGAATCACACATCCAAGAAGTACCTACTACTGTACATCGGCATCCGTTTATGTCTCTTCGGAACTGTGGCCAAGGAATTCGCCCCATTTTCATATTCAACAATGAACGAGGTTGCCGAATTGCCGCTGCGTCAATCCTCACATGCCTGGGACCTCATACTCCTTACGGAAACCTCATATCACTCAGAAATTACCGATGCCGAAGTCGCGATAAATGGTATGTCCCTTCTCCGAAACCATCGGCTTGGCAAAGGAGAAGGGGCAATGTTATACTACCGTAACGACCTGCAGTGGGAACCGGTGGCCGATCCGGAAACCCTGGTGCAGTCTGTGACTGAGACGCAACGACACTTACCTTTTGGCTGTTGTTTATCGTCCCTCAATGTCCACCCTAGAGATGGACTCCCGCCTGGCATTATCCTTAGGAAGGGTCCTACGAGGATGATACAGTCATGTTCTTATCTCAGGTGACTTCAATCTTCATGATTTGGAAGCTCCGGCATCCCCCAACTATCAGTTTAAGGCCGACCTGCAAGCGTTCCCCTCTTCAGGCTTGTCAGTTCACTCACCCAATTCAGAACCGGAAATAAACCATCTGTGATTGATTTCGTGCTCACGAACGAAGAGATCATAGTTGAGAAACCAAGGCTGGAGAGCCATCTGGGGTGAAGTGACCATGTAACAATAAGTTACGACTTCGTGTGTTATGTGGAGTATCCACACGAACATGCACATTTGTTTGGGACAATCACCCACTACGACATACTGGCAGAACATGTGAGAGATGTCAGGTGGGGGTCTCCGGACGACTGTACCATTGACAGTGTTTTGTTAGATTTTACTGACAAGTTCAGTGATTTGATTAAAGCTATATCCGTCAACAAGCCTCTTTGTTCTGCTAGGGAGAAATGATCCATCCGGAATGGAACCCGAAAACACATGACGGTAAGAGACGCTGCGTGGCAGATATATAGAGCGAACCCTAGCCCTGACAGCTGGAATAACTATCTTGCGCATCGTAATCACTGTACCATACTTGTGCGCGAGGATAAATTAGTACACCAGCGGAGTCTAGCGGAAACGTTTTGTGTTAACGAAAGTATTCTGTACAGATATGTGAACAGCCTCCAGAATGTGAAACGTGGTGTTCCCACACTAATATCAACGGATGGATGTGCTCAAATCGTTGAGGATGCAGCCAACGTTCTACGGCTACAGTATGCCCCAAATTTCCGACGTGCTACCAGCATTTATAATTGATCCTACTCTTCCAGATGCCGGGATTGACACACGTCACGTTTAGATCAGGGACCATTTTGAGGAAACTGCTGCCGTTGCGCACCCATAGTTCCCCGGAGTCGACAAGATTCCCCCGAAAGCGCTATAGGTGGCAGCTACGAGGATAGCTGAACTATTAACGAGATTTTTTCAAAGTTGCCTGGACGAACAGCAGGTCCTTAGCATGTGGAAGCAAGGAATCATTACCCCGATTTTCGAAAGTAGCAGCCGTTCAGAGTCAGCCAACTGTCGCCTAGTGTTTCTCCTCCTGGTGCTCTCTAAGGTGATGGAATCGATCACAGCTGAGGCTGTAATGGGCTACTTTGTAAGATCTAACATCATAACACCGGAGCAACACGGATTCCGACAACGTCGGTCATGTACTACCAACCTAATGTTTGCCCGTGGCGGTTGGACCGAGATACCCGACATTGGGACCAGCATTGATGTCATCTACCTAGACTTTTTTAAACCATTCGCCCGCCTAGATCACCGAATCCTTCTCCAAAAGCTGCAAGGCTACGGAGTAGGAAACCCTATCATTGGATGGGTCGAAAACTTTCCCTTTCAGCGAAGTCTTCAGATTCCTGTTTAAGGTTCATTTTCTGATCCATTTGATGTGGACTGCGGTGTTCCACAAGGGTTGGTGTTGGGGCCGCGGTTATTCTTGTTCTTCATTAACGACCTTGCGAGTGTCATCAAGTCAAATTTCCTGCTTTTTGAAAAGCACGGAAAGAAGACGAAGGCTGGTAGATGCATGCATCTCTTATTGTCTCCTCAGTACCATTAACAATAACCGATATGCATAGATGTAGATAACAGTGGGTGCAACCTGACAAATTTCAGGTGCAAAACGAATGATGGAAGTTCATACCTACGTCCAAGGCAGCTTTGGACTGACAAATAATTGTTTCTGAACACACAAGGCTGGCTTAATCCGGCTTATTGCGACAGCCTCAGCAAACCGAAGGAAGCGGGGATTAGTGTGACGTAACACAACTTTAAACGCTGAGCCCAACTCTATCTATATCTATATCTATGCCTATCGGTTATTGGTACTGAGGAGACAATAGGAAATGCATGCATCTACCAGCCTTCGTCTTCTTTCCTTGTTTTTTCGAATTGTTGAAGGGAACTAACTGCTTTAAATTTCCTCCTTGTTGCGGAAGATATCAAGGTATGGAGGGTAGTCGACCATCAGGAACATCACAATATGTTGCAATGAGACTTAGACTGTGCATTTGAATGGTCAGAGGTTAATCTACTTCTGTTTAACACGGACAAGTGCAAAACCGTGTATGTCCGCCACAAGCCCACGTACGCATATAAGCTTGGAGACGATATGCTGAATATCGCTTCACAAGATCGTGACGTTGGGGGTAGGGGTGGTGATCCAAGACGATCTCAGCTTTTCGGCGCAGTCCTTGAAGGCGTCCTAATCCGCGAATCAACATGTTGGTCTATTATGGAGGGCGTTCGGAAGGTTCGACTCCACCATCTTCCTCCAAGTGCTCAAAGCGGATGTGAGACCCCGTATAGAGTATGCGACCCAGGCTCGGCAACCGTTGTTAAAACGCGACTTAGTTACAATGGAGACGGCACAGCAACGGGTAACGAAAAGTGTGTAGGGTTTGTCCTATTTGCGATACCATAGGTGACTAAAAGCCCCGGGAGTGTACAGTGAAAGATGTCGCCGTCTACTAGATGAATTCATCCTGGCGTTTCAGCTTGTGAAAAACCGCGGTCACGCTTGTCATCACCTCTTGAAGCTTAGCTGCAACACAGAATTGAGGGGTCATACATTGAAACTTACCACCCAATACAGTCGGCTTGAGTGCCATCGGAAATATGGTTCCCTTCGAGTTTGTCAACCGTGGAACGCTCTTGCTACTTTTGTCATTTCCGCGCCCACGCTACCCATTTTTAAAACATGACTCGACGATGCCTTACACCGTTTACATTAGTTGATCTGATTTCTGTTTATTGAGTGACGACAAGACGCAGACAAACATTGTGCTCAGGAACCCCACGAAATCGAGTTAGACGGATATACCTGTGTGTTAATGTGGATATTATAGTGAGTTCACAGCGGTGTTTTTCAGTTTTGTGGAGCCATTGAACTAACGTTATTCCCACAAACCATCCCACGGGACTTGTCCACCATTAGCATTTTTATCGGTATGATACCATTGTTCCGTTGTAAGATCGGGCTGGTCCACCAGTTGGACGGTTGAAATAATTTATCGGCACCGTAAAATCTCCGTAAGTTTACTACTCAATGATCCAAAGTACTCAAGGCATAGAGGTTCGAGGCTATAAGTTTTACATGGTGAATTTTCAAGCAACGTATAATAAAACGGCCAAATGGGAGAGGTGGCCCGAACGTTGAAGGGTACAATTTCGTAGGTTTTGCCGCATTTCTCATTTTGCTATTTAATTTTCTTCGCCGCCTATTTCTTTTTATCAATTCCCCAGTGATTACCAAGCACACAAGCGTTTTTCTGAACTGGCTCCTAGCCGGGGTCTGTGGTAACTCTTTCAGAGAACTACGTAACCCTTTTTCCGTCACTAATTACCCTTTGTCTATCTGTTTACAACACAGTTGTGGATTTTGGTATCAGTAGGAATCAAGCATATAGGCTCTTCTTGTCTTGTCGAAAGTACTCTTTGTGTTCTCTCTGAGATTAATCCCTTCCAATAGGGTCTTGCAGTTAGCTGTGTGCTTTTTACTGGAATAATGTGTTCCTTCTTTTTAGAATATTGTAATTAGTTCTGCTACTACTCAGACTATTAATCAGTATATTTTATTGGCCCTTCTTTAGTCTAATCGTTGATTTACCCTTCATCTTATCTCGCACTTTCTTGTTCTCACGAGTTCTCATATTTTACCAGCGTGCGGAAATAAGCCAAGTAGATACCTTCTGGCGCGACTCTCAAATGCTAAGTATCCTCCACTTACATCAGTTGTGCATAAGTTGCTTAACTTGTCATCAATTATTTACAACGAAAGGCAAATTGTTACTTCGTGAAGTATTGTTTTGTGCTCACTGAATTCGATCACGTTCGAAAATGATGTATTTCTGATTTCTTGTGTGATCATTGTTTTAATGTGGTCTTCACAAATTTCAGCCCTTTGGAAATACGTTACCTCTCTTTGGATCAATGTATCGTGCAATATAAGATAGAGATTACTTCATATAAGTAGAAAGTAAGATGATGTCTACGGCTGGTACCGGCGACAAAAAAGTATTTTTCAAATCTGTAAACGAATCGAACCATCAAAAGCTAGAGGAAGAGCAACCTTCGATCTGCAGAATCGGAGACATGAGCACAACTAACAACAAAATTGCGTTGCATACACAAGGTCTAATTGACATTGGAAAACAATGTGCCACGGAGAATCCGTCGCAGTTGAACAGCGGCATAGCTGCTCTGAAAATAATAGAATTGTCTAAAAAGATTAGAGAACTGTCTGCTGAGCTCACCAAAGAGAGAGCAAAGTGCCGTAATCTAGCAGAGCAATTAAGGTCAACTTTGGCGCAAAACAAATTGAACGTGTCTGCTGCAGAGCAGTTGGAAAGTCGCACGTTACCGGAGGGTCTCGTTCGCCGTGTGGAGGAAAATGAAGAGCTGAAAAATGTCAATTCAAAGTTGCAGCGAGTGGTTACAGTGTTCAAAGAACAAATTTCAACACTTAAGTGGGAGATCAAAACAGCGAAGAAGGTACTAGAACTGGAAACTGGTTTAACAATACCAAATCTTGGTATTTGGTTGAGATCATTTAATTCTCAACGCGAGCACGAAGACATGGCGATTGCAGATAAAAATCCTGCTTGGCGCGGAAGGCAACAGCAAATACTTCTACTGAAAGCCAAGGTAAAAGCACTCGAAGAAAAGTTGCTGCGCTTTTCTACACGTAATCCGACAGAGAAAAAGGAAGATGAAGAGCTATTGAAAGAACCCGAGTACGAACTTTCCGGTGCCACCTACCTAGACCTGGCTGACATTTGTTTTCCGCTCACCGAAACATGCTGTGAGACCACCAACAATGTACCAGACGCAAAAGACAACAATACTACGAGTAAAAAGCGCAGTAATCCTAGCGTAATCTATGCGCTGGAAAAAGACAACGAGTTCTTAAAAGTAGAAAACACAATGCTTAAGACGCGAGTAACCAACTTGAAAAAACAGGAGAGTAATATGTGCAAAAACGTAAGTGAAATGAAAGAACAAATGCAGTGTCTTTTGCAAAAGGGTACCCACGATGACGAGCTAATTCAGTCGCTAGTAAAAAAGCATGAAAAACTGAAGACCGAAATAGCAGATTGTACAGTTAACTTGAAGACAAAATCGGAAGAAATAATTAAGAAAAATGATGAAATATCCAGTCTAAAGGCGCAGCACCAAGACACCTTAAAAAGATACGAGGTGAGTAACTTTGACATTTTCCTGCGAATTTCCTTATCAGATTATCCTTTCTATTAACCTTGTATACGCTTGAACAAATTATAACTGGCAAAAATACTAGTTGCTTTGGTATATATCGAGTACTTCCCCAAGCTTGAAAGCTTGTTTTTTTCAAGGTAATCTCAGTGAATTTAAGAAACCATTCTACAGAGCTTTTCTAAAGCTATCAGGTGACATATAGCTTAGTACTGTGCACCACCATACACCATAGATACTGGCTATTTTGTCCTTTCACCTATATTCCTTCGTGCACCCTACCACACGAAGTGTTTGTGATTCCATACACGCTTGCGCAAGGACCCATCACCACCAAACCCGGACAGCGACAGTTACTGCTAGCCGGACTAGTCAATTCACGCAGCTCACAACGGTGCGACCGGCGTGATTTAAAGTGCATACGAGTCACTAAGCCATGGGAAGGCGAAGTTTATCAGCGGGTCCACGCGTGAACAAAACAACGAAGGTCAATCATGGCTCAAGTAAGCGGAGAACTGTCATCACAAAAATCACGTGCTCTTTGTGTGCAAATTCTTACGACGAAGTGGACGTGAACTCAGAACTTGGCGGAAACCGCAGCGTAATAACAAATAGTTTGTGGTTCTGTGATGCGTGTTCAGATAGCCCAATAGCCAAGATTATCCGAACTCTCAACGCGAGGTGTGAAATGTTGGCTGTTGCGTCATCCAAACAGAAAGAATTGGTCAAGGCTTTGGGAGGCAAAATCGCTGAACTCGAGTTGCAGCAGTGTATTAAGTAGCCCTAACCCCAGACCTACCAAAAGCCCAGTTATCCATTAAAAATGTTACACGTTCCGGCGAAAAACAAGCACCATTAGCGATAAACAACTGTGATGCCAAGCCAGTTGAAAATTCTATAAAATCTTCTGTTGTACCGCAAGGCGTAAAGAGTTATGCACAAATTGCACGATCATCGCTATTAGCTGGGCAGCACATTACAAACTGTGTGAATAACGTCGTTTCACAGGAGAATTCTTGCTGCAGCCTTGACTTGTCTTCCCCACAAGACAAGACCAACACTCCCACACGACAAACTTCCACCCAAAAAGAACTGCAACAAACTAAATTACTACGCAACCAACAAGCGATGACAGTCATATGTTCAAACGTACCAGAACCCACCAGCGAGTCGTTAAAAGGTCGACAAGCCGAAGAGCAAAATCGCTGGACTGAGATAAGCTGCGCACTAGGACTAAACGTTCTCCCAACTAGTCTTACACGTCTGTCACGAAACCCATTGTCTCCTCACGTAGGGGAACCTCGGTTACTGCGAATAACATTTGGCAACACAAAGGACTTGGAGGATGTTCTCTTAGCAAGCCACAGTCCACCGAACTCTTCTCTCAGTGCCCGCATTTTTCCAGACATGCCATGGAAGGAAAGACAAAAGCGAAAATCCGACCCAACCGCGTCTCGTCAAAATGTAATGAAGAAAGTGGTGTTGGTTCATGGTGTGGCCGAACTGAAACATGGCGACACCAGTGAAAGACAAAAACACGATATTGATGAGTGGCGCTATATCACAGAACTCTATGGCATGCAGAATGTTGTGGCATTCGACGTCAGCCGCTTAGCTTCCTCCCCAAACTATCAAGGGAGCGGGCCGAAAATTTTGAAAGTTACCTTGGCTACGCCGGAGATGGCATCAATGGCAATTAACGTGTGGTACCACAGCAGAAGGCTAGGACCACCAGAAGTACGACTGAGACCATTCCTGCAAGCAGTACAGACCACTGGTACAGTTGAGTCAGACCTGGCTTTTCCGACCATAGACCAGCCAAGCGTGCAAACATTCGTGTCAAAAACGTGGGCAGACCGGCACTGTTTGTGCCGATCAAACACAGCGAACCCACCTCCTAATGCGGCAACAAATGCAATGCTGCTACACAAAAACCCAAGGGCTGTACTCCAAGCTGCCGGAATTGCGCCATCGGCATGAAGCAGCAATTTGGGACATCATAGCATTAACTGAAACCTGGCTCTCAAACGAGATTTTGGATCCAGAAATTGAACTTAGTGAAATGTCAGTCATTCGAAATGATCGTCCATCTCGCGGTGGTGGCGTTGCTATCTACTACCGAGATCACCTGAAATATGAAGCTCTCACTGAGCATTCCCTTATTATCCCCCACGCCTTATTTTGCCGGCTGCAGCTATCCGGTCCCGATGGTTGTCCTCAGAAGAAAACACATGATGCTTGCCTCATAGCAGTTGTCTACAGGCCGCCGAACTCCTCCGCCGATAGCGATGATATTCTGTTAAATGCTCTCCAATATGCTATGTCGAAAAAGTACTCACACTACCTAATAATGGGTGACTTCAATGTACCGTCAATAACATCTGTGTTCCCAAGTGGGCCATGCTTCAAATCAAAACGCCTTGAGTTCTTGACTATGGCAGTTTTGTATAACCATGTGGATCAACCAACCAGACACCGCGGTTCAAACAAGCCTTCAATACTTGATTTAATCCTGACTAATGGAGTTAATGGTTGAGTCGGTTTCATACAACCCCCCGGCTAGGTTGTAGCGATCATTCAGTTCTAACGTTTAATTATGTGTGTTATGCCAGTATGGTTGACAAAGAACCAGAAACCCGACGATTCATCACCAACTATTCCAAGCTTCACACTATAGCGACAACCGTTGACTGGGACCTCCAGATGCACACTTCGGCGAATGATGCCTGGCAAGTGTTGAAAGGCAAGATAAACTGGGTCCTACAATCAGCTTCAAAAGACGTACCACTACGAGTTTCGCGACGGAGCAACAACTGGATCCGGAGTAAAACACGTAAGTGGTTTAATAGGCGAGACGAGGCTTGGAGGGGTCATTTGCTAGGTCCAAGTGATATCACGTGGAATCATTACAAAACAGTCAGAAACTACTGCACTTCACTCCTTAAAGCTGACAAGTACGAATGGCAGGAAACTATGGTACGCAAATTTACTAGCAATCACAAACTGCTCTATCGGTATGCGAATGACAAAGGGAAGGTTAAGACGGGAATACCACCACTAGAGACGGTCAATGGCCTAACGGTTACTGAAGAGGAGACCGCGGACGCATTGCTCATGCAGTTTGTCTCAGTGACTAGACACACCATGGAACCATCGCCTTGCTACATCCCAGCAAAGGTCGTCGGCTTATCCACGGTCAACTTTAGCCCTACATCTGTGGCAAAGAAATTACAGTCGCTCAGGGAAAATAGTGCGCCGGGAATTGACAAGATCTGTCCGAAAGTACTTAAAACCCTTGCACCCACCATGGCAGTCCACCTTGCAACCTTTTTCCAGTTTCTATTTGATTCTCATACACTTCCGTCTGAGTGGAAACGTGGACTTATCACTCCGATATACAAGGGAGGTAAGCGGTCAGACCCTGCCAACTACCGACCTATTACTCTCCTTCCTGTTCTATCAAAAGTGATGGAGTCTATAATTGCTGATGAAATGGTGAGATATTTTGAAAGTCTACAAATCATCTCCAACCTCCAACATGGATTCAGACGCGATCTTGCCTCACCAATCTACTACTTGCTCGGGACTCATGGACCAGAGCTGCTGACGAGGGAGTTCCCGTAAATGTGATTTACTTAGACTTTTCTAAGGCATTCGACAGAGTCAATCACCCAGCACTTCTCCGAAAGCTTGCGGCCTATGGTATCCACGGATCCTTGCTCACATGGTTGGAAAGTTGCTTATACGACAGAAGAATCGAGGTAAGGATCGCCAACACCCACTCCGATAGCCTATGCGTCACTAGCGGCGTACCGCAAGGTTCAGTTCTCGGCCCGTTACTCTTTTTAGTCTATATCAACGACCTCCCTGCCAACATTCAATCACCTATGCAAATATTCGCCGACGATGCTAAGATGTGGCGAGCTATTCAGTCAACATCTGACCCTGTCTATCTGCAGGATGACCTGAACCGGATTCACGAATGGGCAGTAAACAACCAACTACCCCTGAACCCCGAAAAGTGTCACCTGTTGTCGCTGCGCAGTAACTGCAGCAACACATATCACCTGGGGCAGCGCGTTATAAAACAGGTGAGCAACGAAAGAGACTTAGGGGTCATCGTGCAAGAAGGTCTGGGTAATTCGCTCCAATGTTCAAAGGCAGCTAACATAGCGAACTTAAACTTGACGCTTTTGAGGCGAGCGCTCGGTACCTTCGAGCGGCAACTCTTGCCATTATTGATTAACGCCTACATTCGTCCCCACCTCGAGTATGCGGTGCAGGCATGGCGTCCGTGGTTAAAACGGGACATACGTCTCCTGGAGCAACCACAAAGAAGAGCCACTAAGGCAACACGTGGTCTACCGGGCCTTAGCTATGAACTGCGCCTTCGTTCGATCGGTCTGTACTCCTTAGAATACCGACGACTTCGCGGTGATCTGATCCTCACTTACCGGATACTAAGAGAAGAGGACCATCCATGTAAGTCGCTGTTAACATTATCTGCCGACAAACGATGCCGAGGCCATGCACTAAAACTTGTGACTCAATATTCCCTTTTAGATTGTAGAAAGTTTTTTTACTCTCTTAGTGTCTGTCCGCACTGGAACGCACTGCCATCGCATGTGGTGAACGCATCAAACATCGAGACATTCGAAAGACTATTGGACTTCCACTTACATGATACACATTATATAACGGTATGACAAACTGCAGTGTCTAACTTAGATATTTTTGTGTCACACCTGAAACTTTTGTTTTCTTCCATTTGCCATCCTGTGGGTCTTGTAAAGTCATTGCTTTTTATCCCACCATACACTATTGAACTATTGAACTATTGAACGTACTCGAGTCAACCGCACCGTATTAAACTCGATAACAATAAGAGCTGAATAAACAAAACAGTCGAGTTCTATATCGCTTCAACGGTAACACTCAGCGCAAATAGGTTTGCTCTTTACCGTATTTCCAGCGTGTACCATCGT